AAGAAAGAAAGAAAGAAAGAAAGAAAGAAAGAAAGAAATAAAAAAAATAAAAACAGCCGGGGCTTCCTCATCCAAAATGGCTATAATCAACCGAACACCTGCAGGGCGGGAAGGGGCCCCCTGGAAATGAGTGATCTTTCGTGGAGGCCACAATCCACTGGGCATTCGTTCACCTGGCTTCCTCATCCGGGACGTGGGACCACGACCTGCCTGCCAACAGTATGGTCTTTGAGACATACTATTAAAGTGCGACTACACCCGAGTTACACCTTTAACGACACAGAATCATCCCTGTTTAACTTCAACTGTGCTTTCAAAATCCTGTCCTAAAGCATGTAAGAATTGATGTCCCCTTGTCAATTAATAAAATACCTTTCTTCACAAAGAAAAACTGCAACTTTAATTGAGCCAAATCTACACCACAACGCCTCAACCGAGACCAGGGTGAGAGGGGTATGAAAAACAACAAGACTCGGCCTAACTCACCTCCCCCTTTGTATCCACGTACAACGACTTCTTTAGGAGCCAGGAATTATCAGAAAAAAATTGTGCAAATGGACCCACAATGTGACAAAACTGTTAGCGGTGCCACGACAACTAACAAAGTGATTATTTCTTGAAGGATTAGGAGAGGGAAGCGTAAAACACGGCCAGGGAGACACCCCTATCCACCCTCCTCCACGTGGGGTGCACTCAGAGGAATGGCCTTCACCAGGCATGACAACAGCCCGGACGGATGTCGCACAACACAGTACCATATCAGGATGGTGACAGGCACACTAACCTGTCACCACGCGTCTTGTTTCTCGGGACCGAACTAAGGACGCTCCAGAGGCTGCCATGTGGACGACAGGCTCTCAACCATCAGGGAACCTGCTGGCCCGACCTGGAGTGCATACACGTGGGATACACGAACGTGGCAGCTCGTAGCAATGCAGCCACAACACAGGGGCGCACCGCAGGCCCCTTTTTAGACACCACGGCAGAACGCAGGCTCTCACTGCGGGCCCCCCTGGCCAGCCACATCACCATCACCTGCGAATTTGCAGACCCTGTCCCAGGCCTACTGAGTCAGCCACCAGAGGGTGGGGCTCGGAAATCAGAGTTTTAACAAGCCCCCCGGGGGATTCTGTGCCAGGCTGAGAATCCTGTGGTAGATAGGTCTGCCCATACCACTTGCAGGGCACGGCGTAAAATAAAAACACAGAGCCCCTGGTTCAGTAACTATTGAGAATTTCAAGGCTGCCTGGGCTGCATATCCGTGAAGCTGGCTCTGGTTTTGGGGGATGGGCAGCATTTTCCAGGAGCATTCAGAATGGTTCTTCCCACAAAAAACCCACTCCTTTCTGCTTCAGGAAACAGAGAGGTCCTCCTATCGGTACCCACCTCGTAGTCTCATGGAAGCCACCGAAAAGTATTAACTGTCTCTTCCAGGCTACCATCCGATGTCCACTCCGACCTGAAGGGCCTCCTGTTGCCCTAAAATGGAAAAAAAAAAAAAGAGAGAGAGAGAGAGAGCACTTTTTACACCAACTTGTGTTTCACAAGCACTTACTGAGTACAATTTAATTGGACCACAGGCTACCAAGGCCATCCCGAGTCCAGCTAGCTGCTGTAAATGTGGACAGCCAGGCCCCACGACCTTGGAGTGAGGATTTCTCAGAGGCAGCAGGGACTTGGACACAGAAACCGGACTCCATTAAGACAGCAAACCTCAGCTCTTCAAAATAAACCATTGTACAATCAAACAGCAAGTGACAAAGGGAAGGCAGATTTCTGCGAACACGCACCTGACCAATGACTTGCGTCCAGAAAACAAAGAATTCTCACTATCTCATGAGTAAAATAAATCCAATAAAATTATAGGCAAAAGACTGGGACAGAATATTGAAATAAGAACGGGAAAGAAAAGACACACGGATGGCCAATAAAAACAGAAAGAGACGGTGAGTACATCGCTCATCGGTCTTCGGTCAACAAGCCCAAGCTCAGCGCGTCCCGTGCCGAACACCGCCAGCGGCCCTAAGCAAACGGCGGGACCGAAGCCGAGCAGGTGTAAGACAGCACGACCAAGGGACTGTTCCTCACACCGTGAGACGCTCCTGGCACACAGCCCAGCAACGGGACACCAGATACTGACTCAGATGTGACAACACAAGGGCACAGAAAGACACACGCACGCACACACACACACGTTTAGAGAAGTTTTATTCATCACTGTCAAAAAACCGGAAGCAGCGAAGAGATGCTTCAACGGGGGAAAAGAGTCAAAGTGCGGTACGTTCTCATGATGAAGGACTGTCGGCAACAAGCAGGATACACACGGTACGCACAGGTCTCGTAAACGTCACGCTCGACAGAAGCGGCATCAGAAGGGCACGTACTGTATGATTCTGCTTCTACGTAGGAGATTCTTAAACAGGCAAAATCAATCTATGGTGATGACAGTAGCTGCCTGGGGCCAAAGATTACAAGGGGAATGACGGCAAGCGGGCAGGAGAGAACTTTCTGGAGTGAGGATCACCTTGTCTGTCCCGGGTGTGGCAGTGGTTACACGGGTGTGCGTATTAGCTGAAACTCCTCTAACCGTCCACCTAAAAGGCAGGCATTTTATTGAACATGATTCTATCTCATTAAAACTGATATAAAAAAATACGCATCAATAAATAACCAATAGAAGGGACTTCTGAGTTCTGGCTTGGCATGCAAGGGACTTGGAAGTCACCAGTGTGTCCCAACAAGTAACCGGGAAGGTCAACAACTCCTCTTGGACCCCCACAAAGGGAGGGACGCAGGTCAAACTGGTGGCCCCCAAATTAGGGACAGACAGGTGCGTACAGGAAGTCACACTTCCAGAAGCAGAAGCTCATGAGCAGAAACTGCAGGAACCAGAGCTTGACGGGAAAGCCTGGACAAACTGCCAGAGGCTCAGGGCAGCGGCTCAGAGAGTGAAACCCCCAGCGCGACCCAGTGACGGGGCCCCCACGGTACTGTGAGACATACTCCTAGGAGTTCGAGCGGGTTCCCGCAGGAAACGTCCCAGACACACGCCCTCGTGCTCCTGGCAAGGAAGGGGAGGAGGGACCGCTGTGAAGTGTGCCTGAACGAGGCCTGCCTTCAGGGAAACCCAGCTAAGGGGAGCCCACCCCGTACCCTGCGGGAGTACAATCAGAGCCAAGTAGACCTGGGGGAGACCCAACTCCCAAACTCCAAACTCCCTCTGGGCATGCCGGCCCGCCCAAGAAGCGGCGGGCCTGTGCAGTGAGCAGCAGCCCGGGCTCCACAAAGGACACAGACCTCATCACAGGGCTGCAGAGGGCCCCTTCCAGCGCCTCACTGCCACAGGCCTGACCTATGGACAGCAGTTTCTTCTAACTGGCCCATCACGTCCTGCTAGTGAGAAACACAAAGCACCCCAAAAGGCAAAAAGCACAGTCTGAAGGTTCCCAGCAAGCACCAGAAGCAGACAGGGGTGCCAGAATTATGAGACCAGGACTTTACCAACTGTGATTAATGCGCTAAGGGCTGCAACAGCTGAAGTAGACAGCAAGCAGGATAGGTGGGCAAGGTCAGGAGCGAGACGGAAATCCTGAGAAAGAACCACAAAGAGAGATCAAACCAGCAACAGAAACAAAGGCCACCGAGCATGCCTCCAAGGGGCTCGCGAGCAGGCTGGACATGTTTAAGAGCCTGGAGCCACAGGACACGGCAACACAGAGCTCAAAAACCAAAGACCAAGGAGAAGTAAGCCTGGGGGAAGAAAAAACAACAAAAAACAGAACAGGATATCCGAGGACCGTGGGCCACTTACGCTACAAGGTGTAACAGAAGCACAGCGGCACTGCCAGAAAGAGAAGACAGAGGAATGGAAGAAAAACAGGAAACAATGAGAATTTCCCCAAACTAAACTCTGACATCAAACTACAGATGCAGGAAGGTCGGAGAACACTGAGCAGGACGGGTGCTAGCAAACGATACCTAGACGTGTCGTTTTCAAGTTACAGAAAACCAAAGACAAAGGAAAAATCCTGGAGGAAGCCGCAGGACAGTACGCCCTACCTATCGAGAAACAAAGAATTACATCCAACTCCTGCTCAGAAACCGAGCCAGCAAGAAGAGTGGAGAGAAATATTCAAAGCAGGGAGAGAACTCTGTGCTCCGCAAAATCAGCCTTCAAAAGTAAAGGAGAAAGAAAATTTTCTCCAACGAACCAAACTTAAGGGACCTGGCCCAGCAGACCTGCCTCGCAAGAAACGTTAAAGTCTTTTGGAGAAAAAAAAAATATATATATATATGGGTCAAAAACTCGAATCTACATGAAGGAAGGAAGACAAATGAAGAAATTAGTGAAGTCAAAATAAAAACATTTCATTTTTCTTATTCTTCACTGATCTAACGAGTAACAATTTGTTCACAACAGGAGCACTAATGTATTTGACTGTGTGTCCCTCACCACACACACACACACAAGCGCGCGCGCACACACACGTTCTCACGCATGAGTAGGTGTCAGTGAAATGAAAGACAGCAGTCATACAGGGAGGGGCCGACAGAAGGAATTAGGACTATTTTGCTATTTCAAGGTAGCCACACTACTCACGAAGTGGTACAATGTTATCTGAAATTGGACTCAGATTAGCCAGCTGTCAATGCAAGCCACTAAAAGTAGCAAAAAAATAACTGATGCTAAGAAAGGAGAAAAACTGGGATCTTATAACATGCTCCATTAAAACTACAAAAAAACAACAAAAAAAGTCAAAGACAAACAAAAGAACAAGGAATAAGGACAACAAATAGAAAACAGTAACAAATACAGTAGATATTAATCTAACATACCAATAATCATTTTCAACGTTAATGTTCTAAATACACCAATTAAATGACAGAGGTTGTCAGAGTAGATCAAAACACAAGACCCAGCTATGCGCTGTCCACAAGTAACCCACTTTAAACATAAAGACACCTGCAGATGAAAAGTAAACACAAGGAGAACTAATGAGCTTCGATTAGCTGGCAACTAATCAAAGAAAAGTAGGAGTAACTACATTTCAGACAGAGCAGACTTCAAAACAAGGAAAGTCACCAGGACTTAAATTGCCATTACTTAAGCATAAAGGGGTCAGTTCTCTAACGAGGCATAACAGTTCTTAACATGGACACACCCGACAACAGAACATCAAACTACGTGAGGCAAAAATTAACAGAATTGCAAGGAGAAAAGAGACATCTGCTATCACAGTCAGAAAATTCAACGCCCCTGTCTCAAAACTGGACACAGCAGCAAAAATCCACAAGGACAGAGCCAAACTCAACAACACCATCAATCAACTGGATATAACGGCCATCTACAGACTACTTCATCCAACAAGGGTCAGAATACACATTCTTCTCAAGCTCACACAGAACACTCACCATGACAGACCATATTCTGGGCCAGAAAACACACCATTAACAAATTGAAAAGAACAGAAATCATACAATTTCTGCTTTTAGAGCACAGTGAGAATAAACTAGAAACCAGTAACAGAAAGAGAGCCAGGAGGAGCGCCCGGGTGGCTTAGTAGGTTAAGCGTCTGACTCTTGATTTCGCCTCAGGTCATGGTCTCACAGTCTCGTGAGTTCAAGCCCCACATCAGGCTCCACGCTGACAGTGCAAAGCCTGCTTAAGATTCTCCCTCTCTCTCTGCCTCTGCACCTCCCCGCCTCGTACTCTCGCTCAAAGTAAATAAATATAGTTAAAAAAAAAAAAAGATAGATGGGAAATACAAATACACAGATCAAACAACATATTTATAAACAACATGTGGGTCAAAGAAGAAATAAAGAGAAAATTTTAAATATTTTGAACCAAATGAAAATAAATATACAATTTATCAAAATTTGTGGGATACAGTGAAATGTATAGGATTGAATGCACACATTAGAAAAGAAGAAGGATTTAAAGCCAATAATCTAATTTTCCACCATAGGAAACTGGAAAAAAGAAGAGGAAACTAAACCCAAACCCAAAACAGAAAAGAAGACATAATAAGAGAGCACAGCGGTACCTGGGTGGCTCAGTCAAACGTCCAACATTTTTTTTTTTTTTACCTTTAAAAAAAAATGTTTATTTTTGAGAGAGCACAAGCGAGCATGCAGGAGTGAGGGAGGGACAGAGAGAGAGAGGGAGACAGAGGATCCAAAGCAGGCTCCACGCTGATAGCAGCGAGCCCAATGTGGGGCTCAAACTCACAACCGGCGAGGCTATGACCTGAGCCAAAGTCAGACGGACACTCAACCAACTGAACACCCTGGTACCCCAAACATCCAACCCTTGATTTCAGCTCAGGTCATGATCTCACGATTCGTGGGAATGAGCTCCATCCACATCCCAGGGTCCATGCTGACAGCAAGGAGCCTGCTTCAGACTCTCTCCCTCTCCCTGCTCGCTCGCTTTCTCTCTCTCTCAAAATAAATACATACTTAAAAAAGGGAATTAG